TCAGGATAGTTAGCTTATTTATAATTACAATACGTAATCATCCTTTGTGTCCGTTAACCAATTTCTTGTTAACCCCCCTCCCTCTTCCCCCTCCATCCTCTCCCCTTTTCCACCTCTAGTAACCACAGTTCTTTTCTCTCTTTCTAAAAGTTCAACATTTACTGTGATTGTTGTTTCTCTCTCTCTCTCTCTCTCTATTGTTTATTTGTTTATGGATTCAGCTCCCATTTATGAGTGAGGACATGTGGTATTTCTCTTTCTGCACCTGGGTTGTTTCATTTAAGATAATTTTCTCCAGGCTCATCCATGTTGCTACAAATGGCAGAATTTCATTCTTTTTTATATCTGAGTAGTATTCCATTGTGTGTATATATCACATTTTCCTTATCCAGTCATCCATCAATGGACATCTAGGTTGGTACCATATTTTGGCTATTGTAAATAGAGCTGCAATGAACATGGGAATGCAGGTATCCCTTTGACGTGATGATTTCCATCCCTCTGGATATATACCCAGTAGTTGGATTGCTGGATTATATGGTAGTTCTATCTGTAGTTGTTTGAGGAACCCCCATGCTGTTCTCCATAATGGCTGTTCTAATTTACAGACCCACCAACAGTGCAGAAGTGTTCCCCTTTCTCTACATCCTCCCCAGCATTTGTTGTTCTCTGTCTTTTTTTATAATAGCCAGTCTAACTGGGATAAGATGATATCTCAAAGCAGTTTTGATTTGCATTTCCCTGATGATGAGTGATGTTGAGCATTTTTTCATGTACCCGTTGGCCATTTGTATGTCCTCCTTTAAGAAATGTTTATTCAGCTCCTTTGCCCATTTTTTAATTGGATTATATGTTTTTTGTTTTTTGCTGTAAAGTTGTTTGAGCTCTTTGTATATTCTGGATATTAATCCCTTGTCAGATGTATAGTTTGAAAATATTTCCTCCCATTCTGTAGGTTGTCTTTTCATTCTGTTGATTGCTGTGCAGAAGCTTTTTATTTTGTTATAATTCCATTTGTTTATTTTTTTTCTTTTGTTGTCTGTGCTTTTAAGGTCTTATTCATAAAGTCTTTGCCCAGTCCTACATCCAGGAGTGTTTCCCCTATGTGTTCTTCTAGGAGTTTTATAGCTTCAGGTCTTATATTTAAGTCTTTAATACATTTGAGTTGATTTTGGTATATTGCAAGAGGTACAGATCAAGTTCCATTCTTCTACATATGGATATCCAGTTTTCCCAACACCATTTATTGAAGAGGCTCTCCTTTCCCTATTGCATGTTCTTGGTGCCCTTGTCAAAGATCAGTTGACTGTAAATACATGGGTTGATTTCTGGGTTCTCTATTCTGTTACATTGGTCCCCATGTCTGTTTTTATGCCAATACCATGCTGTTTTGGTTACTATAGATTTGTAATACAGTTTGAAGTTAGGACGTGTAATGCCTCTTTACTTATTTTGCTCAAGGTTGCTTTGGCTCTTCAGGGTCTTTTGTTCCATATGAATGTTACGCTTGTTTTTTCCATTTCTGTGAAGAATGTCATTGGTATTTTGATGGGGATTCTTGGCCATTTTCTACATTTCCCACTCTTTCTTTAAGAATGTGATCTTTAAACAGTGTATATGCTATTTTATCTCCTTACACCCTATTGAGTCAGAGTAAAAATTAATAGTTGATGTAATGGTGATATGTAATTCAGTCTCAAGCTAGTGGCTAGTCTCTTTTCAGCTTTAGCTAACCCTTTTGTCTTTCAGGATTTCTATTGGGTGTCCAATATGAATTAACTGTGGTGGTTTTCAGGATCTGTATTGAGGTTATCAATTTTATTTTACTCTTGTGCAGCAGGAATAAGTTAGTTTAAAATTCTTTTAAAATGTGCCTCAGCCTCTGAAATGCCTTTTGGTTTGGCCTCTACTTTTTTTTTTTCAAACTTTATAGTTTATCTAAACTATTACTGAAGTCATGTACTTTACAGTTTAATGGACTCATAATGCATGATTACACAACTTCAGAATCCATTTTGTTAAATGAAGTGGTGACATTTTATGCACTATTAAGCCAACTAGAATAATTTTCTTGCTCTTAGCCATAACTTATCTGTGTCATTATTGAAAAAATTCTGGGGTGTGTTGTAGAAGGTTTTGACAGGAGAGAGTGTTTCTAAAGATATGTGGAAACAGGGCCTTTTCCATTATTCCATCAAGAAAAAAAAAAGGCAGACAGAAGTCATGAAATAGGAATATGGCTGAAATGTCCCAGTTTGTGTTATAATGCATTAAATTATATTTATTTAGTAATAGTTCTATTGGAAAAGTGAATTTTAAAATTACTCCTTTTTTAATGCCTTATCAGTTTATGAGAGCTTGTGTATTTGTGTGCATAAAATAAAGCATTAAGAACTACACTTTCAGCATTTCATATTTTTGCCATCTTATGTATGTAAAGCAGCTCAGGAAGGGTAGTCCTCCTGTTTTCTGTATAATACAGAATTTTATTTTATTTCTGTTACTCTTTACACAATAAACTGCCTAAAAGACTAGAAAAATATTTTGCTGAGCCATAAGGGGATAACCATAATATAAAACTACCCTATATTATATAAAGTACTGTCCTGGGTTTCTTATGTGTTGACAGTTTTCTCCCATTCCTTGCTTCACAAATCTACTTGAAATTATGTAACTTTTCCCCCCTCAAAAAAATTGTGTATGAATTAGAGAAAATACAAGCAAGCAGAAAGAAGAATATTTTAAAAAAATCGATAATTCTACCCATTCACAGCTACTGATGGAGGTATTGCTTTCCTGATCTGCTTGTATGCACTTGAAAACTTATACACACATCACATTTCTTCTCACAAAAAATGTTTTTTACTTTGCTTTTTTCATGTAACATGTTTCTGTGTCGCTGCATGTATTTTTGAATGGCTGTATTTTGTTGTATGCATTCACTCTAATTTATTTACATTTTTCTCCAATGTTGATCATTTAGGCTGTTTTCTATATCACCATTGTTGTTATTATTTTTTATATTTCAAACAATCTATGTACATATTGTTAGAGGTTTCAAAATATCAATGTCTGTTTATCAGAGCTCATGGTTCATACATATGGTCACATAGTTGAGAAAAATAAATAATGATAATTAGTCTGACACCTAGAAAGTTTCTTCTTTGCCCTGATGACATTCACTCTTTATTAAACAGTATTTGAGTATAAAAAATAAAATAAAATAAAATAAATTTCTATTAAAACAACATTTGCATAAACATTCTTATAGCTAAATTTTTATTTCTTTATGTAGTCAGTATTCAGTGCCTACTGAATGTCAGCCACTGTATTTGGTCTTGGATTTATAATAGAACAAAACACACTACTCACATGGAATTTAAATTCTAACAGGAGAATATGTTAATCAGATAACCATACTGCTGTATATGTAGTTTATAACTGAAAAGAAGACTGAAAGAAAGGAGTAGTGTTCTGTGGTTAGGGAAGACTTGATTGAGGAAGTGCTACTTGAGCTGGCAGTTAATTAGTTGAAAGGTTAGGGGGCTGGAAAGGGAGGTGTTGCAAAGAGACAGATTATTCCAGACAGAGTGAACACTATTGTGCAAAGGCCCTATGGCAGGAGGTATTGTCGCATGTTTGAGGGACCAAAAGAATGCTAGTGCAGCCTGAACACTGAAAGCAGTCATATAAGACATGGCTGGAGAGGCAGTCAAGGGCCAGACCAAGCAGAGCCTTATAAGCTGCATTGTGAACTTTGGTCTTTATTCCAAGACCAAGGATGCTGCTGAAGGGCTTTAAGCTGGAAGTAGTGTCTGATTGCAGGGTGAACTTATTAGACAGGAAACAGAGTGGATGTAGGGAGATTGGTTAGGTTGTTGCAGTGATTTAGGTGAAAATTGATGATAGCTTGGATTAGGTAGTTTGTTAGTTGGAAATGGAAAGAAATAGACTCCAGAGATTTTTTTAGGAGGTATATTTTTAAGGGTTTTTAAAAACATACATTCCCAGGAGTAGAATTCTTGAGATAAAGGGCAGAATTATTTAAAAAGCTTATAATAGGTATCAAATTGCTTTCCAGAAAGATTGTTTCAGTGTACTCCCCAAACAGTATATTAGAGTGATCATTTCCATACACCCACACCAGCAATGAGCATTATCTTTTTGTTGCTGCTGTTTTCTTTTCAATACCTCTTCCAGAAATTTACTTAATATTTCAATTTCTTAAATGGGAATTGTTTCACCAGTTAAAACAATATAATAGTGTGGGAGTACATATGTGTTGATCTCCTTGCTTTGGTTTTACAAAGTGTGGTTTTGATTCTTAGTATTCTGCCTCTAAAGCTGCAACTAAAACAAAAAGATTTCATGGGAATGTTGCCTCAGGAACATGTGAAAAAGAAAAATGTGAAATGGATTTAGGTCAGATTAAGCATGACTGGAAAATTGCATTTTTGTTGAATTTTTTTAAATACCCAACCTTTGTATGATATAGTCAATATCGAGACCTCTGCTTTCTTAAACACAGTATTGCAACTCTTCTCTACCATGTGTTTGGTCTTAGAACTTCAAAATATTTTAAATGAAAATACTGGTAAATAGCCGAAAAGTATATAAAACTTTTGACTACAAAGATAGAAGTATGGAAAATTTTTTAAAGTTTTATGTAATCTTCTCATAGTTTAATAGATAAGAAATAAATGTGTAGTACATGTCCCCTTATCACCACTGAGTAACTTTTTAACAATATGAGGGTGGCTATAGCTGACAGTAAAAAATTGAAGAGAAATGAGTAGCTTTTAAAAAGCAATTGAAATAGTTTCTTTTTCTCCAAAAAATTTTGAGCTTGAAAGATACTGGCCTTAGATTCAGAATAAAAGTTGTATTTGTAAAGTTTTCATGTATTTCTCAAATATTTATATAATTCTACGTTACTGAAGTATGGTTACTTTTGAAATGACATGTTACTACTCACTGCTTTGTTTTCTCTCTTTCAACAGTTAAAAGATGTCGATACGCAGAAAATCATAAAAGCAATGCTTTCTTATGTGTGGCCCAAAGACAGGCCAGATCTACGAGCTAGAGTTGCCATTTCCCTGGGATTTTTGGGTGGTGCAAAGGTAAGAATAAGAGAAATTATGCATTGTTTTGTTGCTGTAACTAAGAAATACAATGACATTTTTTAGTCATGAGCTGGTATAAGTCACTTTTGGGAGAGGATGGCCAACTTTTAGGACCCTCATGTAGTTTATATAATTATTTCATGCAGTCAGCAGAAATTATATGGCAGTGCCCGATTTATCCCTGGATCAGACTCAACTTAGTAGAATTCACTCCTGAAGCCAGTGTAAGATAAAGGAACTTGGTTGTAACAAAGCATAAGGTACTTTATAAAGAAGCTCTTCAAAGCCTTGTCAGTTCTTATTTAATACATATTTCTGGTAAGCTTGGTTCCTAGTTACCTGTAAATTGAAAAGAAGATTAAGGCATTTTAAGCACATTGACAGCTATAAGTGGTAAGTAACAGTTTAACTCAAAAGAAAAAAAACAAAAATTGTTTTTAAAAATTAGATTAAAAAGCCCAGCAACAAAAGCTAGGCATTTTGACACTTTCAGTGTAGGTTCCCTCTACATTTCAGCAAAGTGTGTCATTGTACTATAAAGTAATAATGATAACCCTGAGTTTTCACCAAAAAAACCCTTATTTTCAATTTATGCAGATTTTAAAGTCAGGGAAGTATACATCTATAGGTTCAATATATTATCATGATGAAAAGCATGGTTTTTAGAGTTAGATTGCCTGGGCTGTCCCACTTACTAACCTTGTAACCTTGGAAAAGTTGCTTGGTCTCCATGCCTCAGTTCCCTGATTTGTAAAATAGTATTGTCATAGGATTAAATAAATTAACATATACTAAGCTTCGAACAGTGCCTGATAGGTAGTAAAACACAATATAAGTGTTAAAAATAAAAATAAATAAGTAAATATAGATTTCCAAAAATATGTTTAAAAGTGTTTGCTTAAAAGTGTAAATGATGTTTGGCTATTGTTTGGTTACCCCTTTTCCATATAAGGATTAATATTTTGTTTTAGAACCCAGGTCTTGCCACTTATTTCTTCCCTATCATGTGTATTCTCTTTTATTTACTCATTTTCCCTTTCATAAAAATATTTACTGAGAATTTTTCATACAAAGTACTGTTCTTGGTACTGCATGGTATTCAAATATGAATAAAGCAAATTTCTTCCTCAAATCATACAGGATAAGGCAAGTTTTATTTATTGCCATAATACAAGGTAGGTTATAAATGATTTAAAGAATTGCCAATTGAGTGTTGTGGGGTTTCAGAGGAAAGATAGGAACCATTATGATGGGGAGTCAGGAAAGGTCTCATGGAGGAAATAACATCTGAAATAGGCCTTGATTGATGAGTAAGATTGTTACAGGTGTAAGAATAACGTGAACAGTGACCTAGATGTGAGAGAGCATATAGTGTGTTTGGAGAAATGAATAGTCCAGCTTGGCTCAAGTGAGGGGAAAATGTTTCAGAGGAATTGGAAGTAAGCTTGGAAAGATAGAGCTCCCAATGTGAAATACCTTAACTGTACAACAAAAAATTTATTTAATTATGTGGAAAGTAGGAATCTCTATTTTGAGTAGAAAAGTAATAAGGTTAGAGTTGTGCTTTAGGAAATTAATCTGACCCTGTTGTAGAAGATGGATTAAAATGGTGAGAGACCTAAAGTAGGGATACCATTCATTTCATGCATTCATTCAGCAAGTATTTACTGATCAGTTGTGAGGCTAATGTAATAGTCCAGGTAAGGAGTAGTAGTTTGTACCAGAGTGGTAGTAGAAATGGTAATAGGGAGGGAAAAGATGCAAGAGATATTGTGAGGTAGGATATGTAGAGTCAGTAAGACTTAGCAATGGATCACATATTAGAAGTAAAAAAAGGAATAGGATTCAGGGGTGATGCCGAGGATAAGGGAATGATAATTCCTTTAACAGAAGTAGGTAGTAAGTCAGGAGGTCTCATTTGAGAAGATGAAAAGTTTGATTTCAGACGTGTTTAAGTTTGAGGTGCTAGCAGAACATCCAGATAGAGATATTCAGCTGGCAATACAAAATGCAAGACAGGCTTGGGAGGAAGCCCAGGGCTAGAGAGATTAAGAGGTGCAAATTAGTGAGTTTACCGAGAAAGAGAACAGAAATAGAAGACAGCTAGGGACAGAACCTTTTATTAATTTGTTCCTGTAGAGAAAAAAAGTAAATCGTATTGGAAACCAGGAAGGAGTGATTGAAGAAGTAAGAGTAAAACCGGAATAATTCACAATCAGACTCTCCATTTCCGTGTCTCCTTTCTCATCTATGGGCTCTGTTGAGTACCCTCCCAGTGAATGTGATCCATTCCCCAGGAGACTACTTACTTAAATCAAGATGCTGAGCAACAGATCAAGAATCCATACTTTATTCTATTTGTTTAAGCTGAACAGAGAGAACAATATTACAAATCTAATTTTGGTAGCTGATGTTGAAATTTTTTTTAACTCTCGTTCATTTTTAGCTCAGTACTGGTTGCTCACTTGTCTTTTATATACAAATTACTTAAAAATAAATATGATTCTGAGCTCTTATGCAAGGCAGGGTTAGCAAATTGGGCTTTATTCCTTTATTAGTTGAATGTAATACTTTGATAACAAGTTAAAGGCAGATTATTTTCTGGACTTTCTTTTGAAATGAAGAGAACAAGTTAGAACACGACTAATTAAGCTAGCCAAAGAGAGGAGTCTTAAATAATGACATTTGTATTAGACTTTATTTTTAGAGTGATTTCTAGTCCTTCAAAATGCAGATTTCTGTTGCTTAGTGACAGGTCAATATCGGGGTGTGAAATATAGATCTAAGCTAACTTCCTTACAGACTAAAATATTTTCAGAAGGCTAATATTTGGTTCTTTAGACAACAAATACTGAGTTCTCATAGAATGATAAGTGCTGTACTAAACTCATGAAAACTAATTGTAAGTAAATAGAAATGAATATAGAAAATCCTCAGAAAGTATGCTTAATTTCTTTTGAATCAGGAAAAGGAAGAAATCGTCAAATGTTGTGATGAATGCCTGCTAGTACTTTCAAAGCATTTAGTAGACAATTTTCTTTTTACTAGACAGGAGCTAGACCATAGAATAACTTTAGGCATGTAGAGCATAGTACTAGTACGGTACTAGCATTTAACTATTCCAAACACCATTTTTCCAGCTTCTGGACTGTCTTTAGTTTAAAAGTAATCACTCTTCCAAATCTTTAAAAATTGACCCTTATTTATTTTTGAGCCGTATCACAGGTATGTTTTATAATTTACCTGCAAGGATGGATTCTGTCCCCTTTCATCACATGACTTCCTATTTTTTCTTAAATCTGATTACATGCTTTGACATATAAACACTTCGGACCAATTTAGGCCCGTTTGTACTCTGGTTTTCCCTACCTCCTCTACGTGTTCTGGGAATTTTAATGCAGGATTCAGGAGTCTTCTCAGCTCTAAATGCCACCCTGCTGTCTGTGCTGCTGTGGTGGTATCATGACTAAACCTGAGACTTAGGTGATAGAAAAGGAAGAAAGAAATGTCAAGTGAGAAGAAGAAAAGGGCAGGAGGATTTCATGCTTAATGTATGAGGCTACCGCATAGCATAAGAGCTTGCTTATTTACCTTTTAATGCTCTTTTGATTCTGAGGTTCTTAAGGTTGTTATTGTCTCCAGCAAAGATTTTAAAGATAAAGTGTAATATGCAGAGATGCTTTGGGGCCGGGAATAGACCTAGAGAGTGGGGTGGTATTCCTTCTAGCAGAGTTGCAGCAATTCCATTTTAATACGTTGGGGACCTACATGAGATATATTTTAGGGATTTTGCTGCTGAGAGAGACAGAACATATTTGTCTTCATTCCTTAAATCCTTACAAATCATATGCAGCTTCTTTTCTTACCATCTATGCATATATCATAGGAGTATCACATTATTATTAATCTGGGGATTTTGAGATCTTCTAAGGTTTTTGATTTTTTTTTTAATTCAATCTTTATATTAGTATTTTATATACAACCATGCCAGGTTTTAAGGAAAATATAAAATATATTTACTGAAATATCTGATTTTATAAAATAGATGTTACCTTTGGGGCTGGCTGGTTAGCTCAGCTGGTTAGAGCATGATGCTGATAACACCCCCCCCAGTCCAGTTTCGATCCCTGTACCGGCCAGCTGCCAAATAAACAAATAAAACATGTTGGAAAAAGATAAATAAATAAAAATAAAATAGATGTTTCCTTTAATATTACCAAAAAAAGGTTTATTCATATTATCTAATCATTGCTATCTTAGAAACCACTTAGTTGACAGAGAAATTGGGGACAAAGGAAATTAAAGTATCAAGTGCAACTGTTGGTAAGAATATAAATTAGTACAGGTGTTGTGGAAAACAATATGGAGGTTCCTTAAAAAATTAAAAATAAAACTACCACAGTCATTCAGCAATCTCACTACTAGGTATCAAAGGAAATAAAATCAGTATGTCAAAGAGATATCTGTCCCCCCCGCCCCCATGTTTATTGCAGCAGTATTCACAGTAGCCAAAATATGGGAATCAACCTAAATATCCATCAGTGAATGAATAGATAAGGAAAATGTGGTATATATATATACAAAGGAATATCATTCAGCGATAAAAAAAGAAATTCTGTCGTTTCTGACAACATGGATGAACCTGGAGGACATTATGTTAAGTGAAATCAGCCAGGTATAGAAAGAAAATACTGCATGAACCCACTCATGTGGAATCTAAAAACATTGATCTTATAGAAGTAGACAGTAGGGTGGTGGTTGCCAGAGGCTGGGTGGTTAAGGGAAAACGGAATTGGGGAGATGTTGATTGAAGAATTCATAATGACAGTTAGATAGGAGGAATAAGCTCAAGAGATCTATTGGTGACTACAGTTAATAATGATAAATTGTATTCTTGAAAAATGCTAAGAGTGGATATTAAGTATTCTTACCACGGAAATGATAATTATGTGAGGTAATGCATTTGTTTATTAGCTAGATTTAACCATTCTACAATG